AGCATGCAGTGAGTACAGTGTGTTGCCGCAGCCACCACACGACAAACCACCTCAGGGATGAGAACCTGAGTGCAGCCGTGCAGTGGGTGATACCTCAGCACCACGCTAGTCTGAATGGACAAGTGTGAGTATTTTTTTTCCAGTGGCTGGAGTGCCAATCCAACCCCCAATTTTTTCCCTCTAAGTTGAAGGATCTCCTTATATGGCTGGATGTAGATTAACATCATGCCCAGGATGAAGCAATTACGGGTAAAGGGCCTTGCTCAAGGGCCCAACAGAATAGAAGCACTCGAGGCATTCACGGGATTTGAACCAGCAATCTTCCGGTTGCTAGCACAGATCCCTAGCCTCAGAGCCACCACTGTGTCCTCAGAGAAGGTTTTGTATACTGTATTTCAGCAAGACAATGCCAAACCGCATTCTGCACGTATACTGTAACAACAGCATGACTCCGTAGTAGAAGAGTCCAGGTGCTAGACTGACCTACCTGCAGTGCAGACCTGTCACCCATTGAAAACATTTGGTGCATCATGAAATGAAAAATATGACCAAGGAGACTCTGAACTGCTAAGCAGCTGAGATCCTATATCGGGCAAGAATCAGACAACATTTCACTTTCAAAACTCCAGTAACTGGTCTCCTCAGTCCCCAAACTTTTACAGATTGTTAGTAAAAGAAGAGGTGATGCAACACAGTGGTAAACATGCCCCTGTCCCAACGTTTTTGAAACATGTTGTTGGCATCAAATTCAAATTGAGTATATATTTGTTATAAAACAATAAAATTTCTCACTTTCAACATTTGATATGTTGCCTTTGTTCTATTTTCAATTAAATATGAGTTCAGATGATTTGTAAATAATTGCATTCTGTTTTTATTTACATTTTCCACAGCGTGCCAACTTTTTTGGAAACGGGGTTGTACATTTCGCTAATTTGGAACGTTGTCTCTAAATTGCCCATAGAGAATGATTGCTCTCTTTCTGGTGTCCCAGCATGCTTTGTGCCTGGGATCCTGTGATAGGCTCCTTTGCCTGGGGTTCGTAGTGATAGGTTCAAGGCTCAAAACAACCTTACACTGGATACGCAGCAGGGAAGATGGATGGATGAAAGGAGGAAAGGGATGGATGGATGGTCAAATATTCAGAATTACATATCAAATAAAATTAACAAAATGCTGGGGAATTCCTCCAGTGAAATAACTTGCTTCAATAAAATATGAAGTTTAAAAAAGTATTATAAAAGCATGACTCGTAAAAGTATGCGTAACCTGTCCCGCTCTGATTCTTTATAAGCATGCAGTTCTACGTCATGAAAAATGAGTCTGCACCGTTTCCACGGGAACCGTCGTGCGCCTAGCCATCCTGCCACGTGTTTATGTAAACAACTGCTTATGACAAATCGGATCAAATCGATTAAGGCCAGAGTCTTCTGCACATTTTCCGGTGATGTTCTGCTATTTCGTCGCTTACAAATGAGCCAGCCGACAGTACTGTGAAATCTGTAAGATTTGTAGATATTGCAGCTCCTCTTCAACCCAGATGGTAATTTTACCATTTGATCATGTCTTAAGAACTGTCACTGACCAACCCCGGGGATCCCCTAGTGACGTCAGAAGGACCACGCCCCCGGGGAGACCCCAACAAGGATTACCTTCCTGAGAATGGAAACTGCCCGGTTTACATGCTTCTCCACCGATTTTTCTGGTTTCCCCAGTTCTTGGACTGTCTGACCTCTCAGCTGATTCCTAGCGGTTTAATCAGTGGAGCCTATTTTAGTTTACCTGATCCGAAGCTCCGACGCGAGATCTTCATGGCCAGTCCTGAGTCTGAGTGTTTATTCCTGTCTGACTGCCTGCTTACCTGCGCCCTGTTTCGCCCTCAGATCCTGAGACCTGCCTGTTCCCCTCTGATCTCCGACACACATCGCCCGACTTCTGCACAGGCAAAAACGGAAATGTATTCTGATGTACAGTACAAAGAGCTTTTAATGCAATACTCGAGAAAACACACCTCGAGGAAAATATTAATAGTTCGGAGACTTGTGGAGAAGCATTATATTGCATAACCTACCAAGCTAATACTTTTACTCAAAGGAATTTACAACATTTATCCATCTCAGCTGTGAGTTATTTTACATAATAATTCGAGTTAATTATTATTCTCAACTGTACTGTGAACTACAGGGTCTCTCTTGGATCTCGACCCAGGAATCGGCATGTCATTAAGCCTACTGCACATGCTCAGTACTATAGCATGCAATGTGTGCGACATCATTGTCACCTCACTGGCAGACCTTTAGGCAGTAGGACATGTCACAGGTGAAACCTTGCCGGCTCATACATATGACCTTCATATTCTGCTGTAAGTCAAACGGCTGCTGCTTTTCCAACTCGACCTTGAGAGAAATGTGGAATAAAACCCTGAAAAACGAGGTAAGATGCTGCCGCATGCGGCTGCACAATCCTAAGAGGTGCCCTATATACTCTTCCCAGTGGTGTATGTTAAAATATAAGGAGTGAAAAATATGAAAGATGAGAACCGTCCACCTTTGAAAATAAATCTGAGTCTGTCTACTTCTTTGATTTAACCTTTATACTACTTAAGGCAACTACCCGCCAGAGGGCGCACTCTACAACGAAATCCAGTTCCTTCCTGTCACACAGCCGTAAATTTATAGCAGCGACGTGTTACGCTAAACCGCAGGTATTTATTATTGGATACAGTATCAAGCGCCTGTAAATAGCTTGAATAACACATAAGTATTTAAAGTAGTATTTGTATTTATAGTGATAAAATATCTGCCATGCCTCACATATGCACTACGCAGACTTTGGCATCAAAGACAACAGTGGCGTTGACAAATTAATTTACTGCTGGTTCGCCGTGTTCGTTTGCACAGCTCTGATATGGGAGCATGAGATCTCCCTGACTGCACTACTGCGGCCTTTGCATGAGCTCCAGGAGTCCCTTATTCCCAATTCTCTTACAGTATGTCCTTCTTAGTGTAAAGCGCCATTTACAGGTTGGGTAAACTGCTCATTGCACATCAATCACATGGTCCGGCTCTTAAATACGGCATTTTAATGAAATCCCCTCTTTTTCATTCTAATTAGCTACAGCGATTTTGCGAGTATCACAACATCCATTTGGTAATAACAACGTGGATCATACATGGGACCAGACCGGCGCACTGTTTCAATAAATATTTACTCTAAGCTAAAAGATGGGACGATAGGTCGATCGTCACTTTTAACTGGTAGGCTAATGCGCAGTGTAATTTAAAAGGGTTTACGGCATTAAAAAGTCGACGTGGGCTGTCGGTTGAATAACATATCTATATATATATATATATATATATATATATAAAAAGACCCAAATAGCTGGTTGTTCTAATTCAGGGTTTCCCGAGAAGATAGTAGAACATGCCCATCCTCAACCTGGATGGAAAGTTCTTTGTTTTGTACCAATGTTATATTGTGTTGTCCCAAACAACTAAACACAATAGAAATGGAAATCAGAGGGGTATTAAATGTCGTGCTATTTAAAAAATCGATATTAAAGTTAGCATCGCGCACCTGCGCACATTCTCAATAAATTAAAGCTGCAGTTAAATCGCTTTGGGAAACCCTAACGAATTATACTTTCTGAATTTCGTTGCCCTGTATCGTAAACAAATAATTACGGCCTGTAAACTGCCATACATCTTTCATTCAAACCAGCGCATTTCATATTCAAACGCTCAAAATCACGCATTACATCCGTATTCATAGTTTGAAATGTTTTCTAATTTGCGTTAAGATAATATAAGTTTACTAGATAATGAAAGGACGTCGCAGGGTATTCGATGTATATATTGCTGTCATCAACTGTTTTACAAAAGTATTATGCAACATATATCGCAGAGATATTATGTAGGCTGATGTCTGTCCGCTTATAAGCAATATTAAAGCAAAGCACTGGCGGTATCCAGTGTATTGCATGGTCACTGCGTGCTTTTCCTCGCTTCTTTTCATCACCCCTTCTATCCGATCTGCATGCTGTCTAATGTTTATAAAGAGCAGGTAAGCTTGACTCAGCCCCCTTTGGTATGGGGGAGGGGGTGTCTCTTACTGGCAACACAGAGCAGCGTTGTCATGGTCACACAGCACGCCCGTTTTGCCTTCTGTTTAAGGGACGTGTAGCAGACGGGTTCTTTATGAGCTATATGATACAAGGCGTGCACATTTATATGTATCTCACAGGAACTGTTAAATATGTACAATATAGCCTACGTATAAGCCTAAAATTATGTTCAGCCGCCCCCATCAAATATAAACATAATTAGCATTTTATTTTATTTTGAAAAAAGCATCCCACCTGTCCTTACATGTAGGTACAAAAAACTGTAAATAAAATACATCACTGAATTAAGTACCGGATGAATCTAATGTCGCCTTATGTATATGCTTCCATCTAGCGGTGAAAACTAAGTAAATCCAATAAAAACAGCTCAAGCAACCCACTGATGCGGGGGGAGGGGAAGTGTATTAGAATATGTAACAGCCTCCCTTTCCTCCGTAAACATCAAATTAGACCTTGGCTAAGTACATTGAAAGAAACGAATCGTGTCATGATAACACGTTTTCGCTTTCTTTCGAGGGAATTTGATTCCCCATGAGTGTTTAGCAGTTCAATATGTACTTAAACGATTTATTACCCCAATAAACGGCGCTTTACTTCGTAATTATATACTTGAGCGATTTGTGCCTTCCGCAGGCTGAATGTAAATAGGTTTATGTTCATCTCCATGAAAATGGTGAGATCAAGAGGGAGAAATGTAGAAAAGATTCAAAACACGCGGACAAAAATGCACAGGCGTATGCACGTGGTAAATTTATGTTAGGAGCAGCAGCCTATTTTTTTCGAATATTGATTCCTGTCTTATGAATAAATATCGATATACCATTAGAGGCCATCCCTGCAGTTGACATCTCTAGGATTCAAACGCTGTCTGAAAAGTCAAACTGAAACATTACCGACATCATTCAGCTTTCTTCCCGGGGAAACACAGAAGCACGTGGACCCGGTTGTTTTCAGGTACGCGGCAGCTACCATTTGCCGTTTTCCTTTATTTTAGTGTATTCGTCATATTAATTAAAACAGCCAAATGGCAGCAACTATACAGTCTGGTCCGTATTTCTTTTCATATATTCTGTACATTAAGTGATATACATTAGGCAACAATCAGATTATTGTTAATATCAATTAAACTTCGTTCAACCTCCCCCCCTCTAAAATAATGGGACGTCCCCAGAGTAGTTTAGCAAAACCTTAAGGAGGATAAATAGTGACTCTTCAGAGTCTGGTGAGATCTGCCGCTGTCCGCGGAGGTCTGCAGAGACATGACGGGATCAGGGGCTCTGAAAATGGATGCAAATATCGTGGTCTTGGGAACAGACAACGTTGGCAAATCAGGTAAATCCATTATTATTATTATTATTATTATTATTATTATTATTATTATTATCATCGTTGTTGTTTTTCCTTTTAATCCTAAAAGAGTGTATAGTTACATGCAAACAATAATTCGTGTGTATAAATAATACTCTTTTTACGTTGACTATTAGCACTTATAGTCCGTTTCCTAACAAGAAGATTCATCGGAGAATATGGAGATATCGGTAAGTTTATCCAGAAATCAGTTTAATTTAAACTGCCTAGCTGCTATAAGACAGTGTGACAGTGTATATTACTGTGCCGTAATACAAGACTGGTATAGGAGGTGTGTAGATTGTTCAATAGGTTGTTTACACGAATAGCCAGATTGAAATGTTAAAGCTTTTATTTGTGGCTAATGCTATTTTTATTTACTGTCTAGAATCCATTTACAGCCACAATGTAATAGTAGATGGACGGGACATCTCCTTCAACATCTGGGATTCTCCTTTTTCACAGGTAATGCATGTGAGCCTACGTACAAGGCAGGAGTAAGCGTGTACCAGTAGCATAATTGCTCTTAAAACGTGCTGTGGGTCCCTCGTTTACTGTTCTGCAATTCATCAAGTCGGATTGCATTTATCATTGCGATGAAAGCTGGTGAGACTGACCTCAGTATGGTCTTCTCTTGCTCATAACTTCAGATATCATTTTAGGGACCCTTGTAAAATTTGTACTATTGAATTGTACTATTAAAGAGAGGATCTACATTTGCAGAAGGGAGTCTTTAACTCTGAAAATTCTTGGAAACAAAACGGCAGTGGGCTCATGCCGCTGTGTCCGCTCTCACTTCGGTGAATGCGATGTGCGCGGCACGCTGTGTCTCGCGCACAAACAGCAGTCACTCAGCCAGCGGCTAGAGAGTGAATCGCCTGTGTGACTAAATGAGAAAGGCTGCTAAAAAGCCCTTAAGACGCTTAAGTATTAAGTACTACAGGTTTATGTCACATTGCAGGGGTCAGAGATTTTTTTAATGCATACTTACAGTACAGGCGCATAATTGATGCATATTTTTTTATATACTGTAGCTCCAGTTCCAGTTTTTTTGTTTTGATTTTGCTGCTATAGGGTGCTGATTATACTGTGCTGCTGTTAATCTGTTACAGATTAACCACTAAGTTACAGGTGATCTACTTTGTTGCGCTCAGTTAGAGGGAAAGTAGCTGGATTGCGTCTAGAGTGACAGTCTGTTATATCCCTTGATTGAAGGACGCATCTCGCGAGAGCTCGACGCAGGACAAGAGAATCCAGTGGGCGGATGGCTTTGTCCTGGTGTACAGCATCTGTGACCGGGTCAGCTTCAACAATGTCGCTAAGCAGCTCCAGCGTATCAAGGGCACTAAGGACTACCTGGGGGGGGACAAGGTGCCCATCGCCATCGTGGGCAACAAGCGCGACTTGCACCACCGCCGCACCGTGCCCAGCGAGGAGGGCCGCATGCTGGCGCTGGCCGCCGGCTGCCAGTTCTACGAGGTGTCGGCGGCTGAGAACTACCACGGCGTGCTGATGGTGTTCCACGGCCTGCTGGAGCGGGTGCGAGAGGCCCGCAGCTCTGCCAAGAAGCCGGCCGGCATCAAGGGCATCGTGAAGAGCGTGTCGGCCGTCTTCAGCAGGAGGAGGACGGACTCTGTGTGAGAAGTTTCACCTCAGGAGCTTAGCAGCCGGCCTCTAAGGAGCCCGCTTTGAGTGGGACGCGCTCCCTGGACCCGCCAGGGTGCTCTGAGCACTAGAAAGAGGGATTAAGGGAGCTCAGGTGAGCTTCAGCTTCCACCTGGATTGAGAGTGAAAGGTCTGGGACGATCCTGCAGAGAGCAGCTCTCATTTGGTGGACAGCGTTCCGGACATGCGGCCTGTGATCACACCAGTGTTTCACGCCTTTGCATTTTCACACTCAGTACGTTTACATGCACAGCTATAGCTCGACTACGCCATTTAATCAGACTACTGTCCTTGTCCCAGTATACATGCATGGGAGGGAAATCGATTTACTGACCGAAGTATGTTTGACTCCGATACAATAGGTGGCGATATGGCTCCTTTCAGCTTGTTAGTATTGGGCTTTTTCTGGTTGAGCTTTTACGTTACAGATGTAAAAAAATGAAATGCATAACAATGGATGCATGGACACGAGTGACGAGCTTCAGTTCACGCAGCGTTCATGCGGAGCACGTGCAGAGCGCCTAGGCCAGTTTGAGTCCGATTGAACGTGCACATGCAGTAAATCGATTCCCAATCGCATTATCTGGGTGTTTTAGTCTGACTTCAAGAAATTCGATTTAGTACAATTTCAGTCAGACAAGCATGTTTACATGTACCTTAAAAGTCCGGTTTTAGTCGGACTAATACGATAATTCGATTTTCTTAGTGTGCATGTAAACATACTGACTGATTAGAAGGTTTAGGTGCCTCGGTGCCATCGGCTTAAAGAGGGGTCATTTATATGGTGATGGGAAAAAAAAATAATGAAAATACTTCACCTAAAACTATGACGGTTTCTATGGATTTTACCACCTGAGAAGACCTCGCCATAACATGCAAAGTGTCCTTTAAAAATTGGGTCAGATAGCAGTCTGGGGACAAGTGACACTCGCCAGAACGACAGCGTTCGTCATTAAACAAAACAATCCCACCTTCTGCTTCTACATGCAATCTTGCAGTGAAGGAGCAGCGACAGCTACTGCCCCAGTGGCTCTATTCACTGTTACCAGGCCACAGAAATATTTAGTCTTTTTATAGCAGTGAGACAGCAGCAACCCACTGCCAGTACAGCACTCCTCATTGTTTCCTTTGGCTGGGAGGACGGCGCTTCCCAGTTTGGCCCAGTGGCCCAGGTCAGCTTCCCCGACACTGACTACGGCGTAAATGCAGGTTTAAGTCCCCCTGTCTCCAAGATGTGTTGGCTAAGTGGTAATGGTGGTTTTCAGAAAATTCTAGAAAAAAAAATGAAATCGGCAAGCACTTTCTGCTCAGTATTTAACACTTAGGTGGTAGACAAAACAACAGAGAATGTAATTTATATGTCTGTTGTACAGTTTTACCATGCCTTGTGCATTTGAAAATAGATTTAAGTTAAATGTCACAGTAAAACTAAATAAACATTTGAAGCCTCCTTGTGTCACACTTTATTTATATATCTGCGGTAGGCTCCTGTTCCTGTACATTATTCCCACCACGTGTATCAGCCTGCCCAGCCTCTCACAATACAAACCAGTCCTCTTATAAGCTTGTCTCATACCCTATCCTGAATAGTTCTAGAATACAGATTCATAACACAAGACTCATTCTGACAGTTTGCTCTGTTACTAGGCTGTCAGTCCAAGTGGGGAAATGGCTTCTTTAAAAAAAAAGCCAATAAACTATCAAGCATTACTGTACTGTGAAGTTTGACACATAGTCAAAGAACTCTTCCCTTCTTGGGGTATGACGGCTCCATGAAGACTGAATAATATTTACGACTTTGGTGAATGTGCACTTGGCCATGAAAAGCCTTTATTAATAGCCTCCGGTGTCTGTTTAAATTAAGACAGAGCACTTGTGAACTTGGCTGAAAGAGCTGAGCTTGCCGACAGATCATCAGACACTGTGCACACAGCACAGACCTTCTCCTTTCTGGGCAGAGGAATTGTGGGTAAACGGCAGCACAGAATCCCTCCTCGAGTTATTTATGGGTGTAGAATTTTTGTGCGTCAGCACAGAATAATTCAATTCATTTTTCTGTTGTGCCTTTCCCAACAAAGTGCTCCAAAGTACTTCAGAAAGAATCAAAAATGTTATCAACATAGCAGAGCTGAAGGTAACAATAGTGAAAATGAACAGTGAATAAAACAACAACCAACAGAAGAGGAAAATATTTAAAAAGTAATGTGTGCAGCTTTATTTGTAGGTCAGATCTTTGTTCAGCCCTCTACCAACCCATAGCACTGCCAGGGGTCTGTCAAATCAATGACATGAGCTCAACTGATAAGGAGGGAGAAAGTCAGTGGGTCTGGTCAGATGCCGATACCAAAACTGGGTACAGGGGCGAAGGACACAAAGGGCAGTACAGATGCCAATAGCCAACCCGGGTACAGGGGAGAGGGACAGGGTGGGTCAGTGCGGATTCCAATACCTGACCTGGGTACAGAGGACCGGGACACTGTGGGTGAGTAAGAATGCTGACCAATACCCAACCCGGGTATAGGAGAGTGGGACACAGTGGGTAAGTGCACATGCTGACTGATACCCAAGCAGGGTACAGGGGACCAGGACATGACTAGTGAGTACAGATGCCGACACCCAAGCTGGGTACAGGGGAGAGGAACACAATGGGAGTGTGTGCATACCGATCAATATCTTACCCGGGTACAGGGTAGTGGGACTCGGTGTGGGAGTGTGGTATAGGGCCAATACCAAACCAGATACAAGGGCGTGGGACGTGGCAAGCAAGAGCAGACACTGACCAATACCTGACCTGAGGACAGGGGAGAGGGACACTGTGGGTGAGTGCGCATGCTGACTGATACCCGAAGTGGATACATGGGGGAGTGGAACATAACAGGTTAATAAGGATGCTGATACCTGGCCCGGGTACAGGGAAATGGGACACAAAGGGTGAGTGTGGACACCAAGAGCTGATGTGGGTACAGGGCATAGGGACACAGGGCGAGTATAGATGCCAATACAGGGAGTGGGACACAGCAGGTAGGTGTGGTATCGGGCCGATACCCGACCTTGGTACTGGGGTGCGGGACATGGTGGGTGAGTATCTGTGCTGACCGATATCTGATCCAAGTACAGGGAACCGGGACATGGAAGGCGAGTGAGGATGCCGATTGATACCCGACCTGGGTACAGGGAAGTGGGACATGGTGGGCGAGTGCCTGTGCTGACCGATATCTGATCCAAGTACAGGGAACCGGGACTGCTTTAAATACCAAGAGTGAACATTCCATACATGCTGAAATAGTGGAAGCCAGCTTTTGATCCCAGCAAATGTTGCAGACGTAAACCTGTTGATCATTTCAGATATGCAGGGTTTGTAAGTGACAGGATGAGTCGTCTTGCACTCTTAAGACACAATTTATTAACTTTTTAAATTCTAAAAGGTAAACTTTTTTTTTAAATTTTTTTAAACAATGAAACACACATTACAGAGAAGTGCAGTTTAGCCAATCAGTGTAAAAAACATTTTATTCCCCAGATAAACCAGCAGAGTGATTCCGTAAGTCGTGTTTTCACTTGCCGAATACAACACCCAAGCGTTAGTGCACACAGCAGCTCACGCGGGCTTTTCACCAGACCCTCGCTTAGGTTCTGCTGCAATGGAGGCAGCAAGTCTACAAGACCAGACACCCCCCCCCCCCCCACACTGTGAACATACATCACGCTGACAGTGCAAAAGCCCCGCACCCTCCGGACAGGCCCTCCCCAGGAAAATAAGACCCCAATATTCCAACTCGCAGGTCGTCGTCAGCTTCCTTTAGTGGGCGGCGAGACTGGTGAAAGGTGCACCCTAAATGGCTAATTAACAGCCAATCAGATTGTTCGTAGTTACATAAGCACTCGTTCATAAATATTTCATCACTCAATTCGTAAGCGCTAATACATCGGCGTGCCTTTGCATGAGAATTATGTGCTTACATTTTGCTAACCGTTTAGCATAGCGGATGCAGAAGCTACCCCATCAGCCATCACTCCCCCCCCCCACACACCAGGCACTGCAGGGGTGCCCAGAGAGAATCCCAGATGATCCCTTTTGTTACCTTAAACCCAACACCATGCCTCCTCCTGTCAGACCTGCAGAACAAAGCACAGCTAGAGCGAAGCCAGGTACAGGTACAGATGGGTCCCTGTAGCCTCCAGCAAACACCCCCCCCCCACCCCGGCCCATGCCCCATCCCCCTGGAGGGTCTTCAATCCTTCTTGGCCACGGTGTGTGAGGTGGGGGGGGGCATGCGCACTTGCGAAGAGCCTGGGGAATGCGTGCCCTCGACTCGCCCAGACTCCGGCTGTGGGAGCATGCTGGCAGGGCGGGGGCCACCCTGTGACCCTTTCGCCTCGGGCGCCCTCTGCTGGTGGGACTGCCACCTGGCTCCGTAGGGTCTGGCTGAGCCCCCCTCCTCGCCACCGGGGTCTCCCGTGTCATCCTTCTGCTCCTGGGCGCTGCCGTTGGACACCTGATCACGGGGTACGTTGCCCTTGCTGGGGGGGACAGCTTCTGCCCCCTCCTCTGCGCTCGGCCCAGGGAGCTGTGGAACACAAGCACTGTGCTGTCATGACAGAAATGCAAGGGAGTGGGGGAGGGGGGGCTGTTACCCCCAAGGGCCATCCATCTTCCATAATAACAGTAAGTCTGGAACTTTGGCCCAGGAAGTGCTGGGGGGCACAGGAAGGACTGGACACAAGGAGGACAGGGCACAGGGTGGGGGGCAGAAAGCACACCCACAGCAGGGCAAGTGTGAGGCTATAGTGCTGCCCAGTTCACAGGAGCAGCAGACAATGGCCAACAGGGCCATAGTGGGGGCGTGTCCACAGTGTGGGCAGGGCCAAGGCAGGGGCAGTGCCTGTACTCTGTCAGCTCATCCTGAGCGCCCAGACAAATCTGCTGCTCCGTGCACTTCTGCCCACGAACAGCCCCTCCGGGTCCAGCGGGTGGCGTTCTGACCAGAACACGGAAAACTCATTTCCGCGGCGGCGAGACGTGCCTTTGTGATGGAGGAGCGCGTTATTAAAGAGCAGCCGAATTCCAGCAGGTAGCTAGGAGACCGAGCGGACCCGAGGGCGCGCCACGTCCGGCCGCAGCGTGACCAGACAGCGTGACCCCACATGGGACCTGACGGGCCAGGTCAAGCCCCCCCACCAAAGCCCAAGGAGGATCCCGAGCAGGACCAGCCCCAGGCCGCCGCTGCTGCGCGCCAAACCGACCCGAGTCACTGGGGTCAGAGGTCAAAGCGGGGCATGGGGACACATATGTTTAAGGTGAGGGTTCTAGTCTTCCTTAAAGGATCAGCAAGGGGCCTCACTGGTTACACGGCCTGAGAGGAAAGCGGAACAAAAGTAGCTTATTAGCTTATCACACCCGAACAGGCAGTCTGACCCGGCCAGCTGTATTTGTCATGGAGACACATGTTCATCCTTTTCTTTGAGCTTGTCAATGTTCACACTCAGACCAATGCCTCTCTTTACCTCCTCCTCCCCCCACCGCACCCACCCTGCACAAGAACACAAAAGGGTAACATTTGCTTTGGTCAGCCGTTCAAACTGCTTCTTGCCATGTCCCCCCCCCCCCCGCCTTGAGATGCCGTTGGCCCATGTGCGTGTAAAGCAGTGCAGGGCCCCACCCCCCCCCCGAGTTACACCTGCAGGTAGGGGCCATCAGCCTCATCTCATCGTTCCACATGGCTGCCCCAGCGGAGCCCTGCTCGGTTGGAGCAGGTCGAGCGTGCAGCCCATCAAACGCCGCCCCCCTCCCTCATAACACCCCCAGCCTTCGCGAATCACGCAGCAGGAGATCTGAACGGAGTCTGAACGCCATGCCGCTTCGCTTGCCCGCGAGCTCCGCCCCCCCTTGCTATGCGTGATCAGCCGCCAAGACCAACAGCTGGACTGAGGATCGTGCACGAGGCAGGCGGGTTGTTCACACGGCAGACAAAAACGAGCCAGACGTGAGCCGGGGTGACCTTCCACTCACGAGCCGCCGGACCATCCCATCCGGCAGGAAATTACAAAATCAGATGGTGTTTTTCCCCCGAAACGTCGGGGATCCGGCCCTGTCCGGCTAGCCCGTCATCTGCAGATTTGCTGAACCGACAAGGCTAATCGGGTGTCAGCCTTTTTCTTACAAAGGTGGAACACTTACACCTTTACCCATAAATGTGTGTATTAATATCAGTGCAGAGCTCTGTGGTGAGGAATTCTGGAAAGGTCTAATTTACATGGAGGGGGAAGAGAAAATCAAACAAAACGGGTAAAACGGATTTATTTCAGGAGTAAATGGCCAACATCATGCAGGAGGACACATGGACCAAACACTGTAGGGCCTGTATGTCGCCATGACGACAACCCTGGGTAACTGCATGGAGCAGCGGCGAGCCCTGGCACCCCCCCCCCGCACACTGCTCCATCGCCATGGGACACCATCTGAAACAGAACCCCCTGCCTGTCCCCCCAAAGCGGCTCGGACCGAAAATGACCCCGCCCCGTGGCCTTCCGAGCGCCGCTTTCGCAGTATCGATCGGAATCCCGTAAACGGCGGCAGGGTCACTGAAGATAAATCGAGCCACTGATTAATGCACTCGTTCGCCCTGCCTTATTAAATACAGAGGCACCCTAACTTCATCACGGGCAGAGAGCGACTGCATTTGCTTGCGGGGGATTTAAAACAGGAAGAGACCTGTGAGCTGGGGGCTCAGCCTGGTAGGTAAACAAGCACGACCTTTCGTCTTCTCCTGTCCCCATCTGCCCCTTCAGGAGGCCTCCACCCTGCCGGGGGGGCCATGTACTTACAGTTTGAGGCCCAGACAGGGTGAGGGCATCGCTCCAATCTGCAGTCTGGTCAGCATAAGAGACCGTCACACAAGTTCATATTGTCATGGGAGTTTTGGCATCCATATAAACTCATCACAGGACATGGTGTCCATTAGTATGACAATGCCGAGAGCTTGGCGGTGGCCAGAAGAGGGCGCCATCTCGTTCAGCCGGCTGCCTTTCCACGGCAATCCTCCTGGGGAGGGCAAATGGAGCCTCTCCATCCAATTCCTAGCTGCTTCTCCTGAAATCCATCCTAGGCAGCACGGGGCACAAGGCTGCGGGGGTGGGTGCACCCACCTTCCACACCAGTTTGCTGCACGCAACACACAAGCTGCCACCATCAGCAAATTTAGAGGCACCAGTTAGCCTAACTGCGTGTCTTCAAACTGCGGGAGTAAGCTGAGGACCCAGAGGAGGCCTGCATCACACAGGAAGGACACGCCAACTCCCCCGAGAGTGGGGGCCGGATTCAAATCCATAACCCTGGAGATACAAGGCTACAATGTGGCCCACTGAGCCACCCAAACAAGTCTAAACCAGCCAAAACCAGAACAGAAAACTAGGGAATAACCGTATTTGGGAGCCTCATGGTAACTGCAAGAGCAGCACAGCATGGCAGACTACCAGAGCTCAGCTAAGGATTATAAAACACAGAGCATAATTACAGCCTGAACGAGCTCAAGCGAATTGAAATATGCTGACAGCCGATGGACAGACAAGCGGCCAATGCCCCGCCCTGCCTCGCCTGGCCCCCACCCGCCGGCAGACAGCTGCGTCTCATTAAGGTAAACAATGCCACTACAGTGGAGATAGGTACTTTCCCGAACGCCGTACAAAGGCGCAGTGCGGCCGACTCAGGCCTTGCATGACGGCTCGCCAAGCCCCCGGAGAGAAAGGGCCTCAAACAGCGACCGAACACACAGCACAGCACTCTGCCAAGCGGACTCGGCGCCCTCCCGTTAGAGCGCAGGAACCTCGAACGGCGGACCGACGGTTCAGCCAAACCGACGGTCAGCTATACTGGCAAGGCAAGAGGCTAAAACCTAGAAATAAATCGGAAGGTGCAGAGATAGCATTCCTGCGGGGAGGCGGATGTGTAAGTCCTAGGATACACGATGGTGGTGTTTTAATCTAAAGTTATTATTTTAATACCACTGTGCTATAACTCAAAACAACGTTTCAGGCTACGTCTCACAGAATGCATGAAAATTGGGCTTCCCCCCCCCCATTCGGGCCACTTATGGCGACGGATGCCCGTCTTGAAGTGAAATTTCAAGCCTCCCACTAAGGATTCTGCACGGTCGGCTGGGGGTCTGGTATGTGTGAACTGTCAAAGCCCAACTGCGAGCGCGCCCACTTGCCAACACGGCTGGAGAGCGCCATTAACCGCCGAGGAATTCCGGCCTTCCCGCATCAGCGCTGCCCCCCCTGCCCCCGCAGCGGTCCCCCACGGCGCACTCCCCCGTCGCAGAGTCTCGCCGCTGTTTGGTCACGCTCTTTGCTCGTGCGTAATGCCCGGATTCGAGGAACCTCCCCCTTATGGGATACGCGTCTGCAGGTTCCGAGAGCGTGACTCGAACCTGCGGCACGCCTTATCGAGCAGGACGGCTACGTTCCTGCGTTTTGGCCGTGACTATCTGATGGGGCGGCTTGGTGGAGATCTTTCCAAATGAGGCCTGTAAGTTTAAAAGGGCCGGCAGGAGTGTGACAGGACGTACACCGGGTCCATGCAGGAGGCCAGACAGGCTACCATGACTCGATGCCACAAGGACATCGACCCAGCAGCTCTGCAGAAAAAAACACTCTCAACAGAATACAACTGCCCCTGCATTAATACTGATTCACACCTTTCATGCACCTGCACCTTTCATGCACCACATGGACCTGTCACACATGTGCCGCAGCCCCCCCCCCCCCCCCGCTTGTAGAAACTCAGTTCCCCCAGCCACAAAGTGTGTGTTTGATGCTGCATATTGAGTGATTCATGAATCCTAGAACATGATAAGCTACTTAAGGCCTCAATTAACATGTTATATTAAATCACTGTGAAAACCATGGTAACTGATCAGAGTATTGACTTCAAAATAGCCTCCACCACCGTCAGTCTCCACTTTGACAAGGACACACACATTTTTACACGTGGATTTTCTGAGCTTTACAAATGATAAAAGCACAAGTTTAAGATTTATACACAAAATCACTCTTGGACCGAATTAAACCCCTCCCCAAATTACCTGCAGTTATTAATTCTGCACCCCCATAAAACAGACGGATGCCAAAGGGATTCAGTCTCAGTGGGGGCATTTTTCACATTCCTAGACTGATGAAAATTAGCAGTGGAACTTATTTTGTGCAGATGATGGATGGTGACCTGTGCTCATGCTGTGCAAAGGGCTCAGTGTGGCCCGCCTGCTGCCTCTGTGCACGGGACCTGTGCTGTGCGACAGCAGGCACGAACACAGGTGCAGAAGGACAGCATCGACTTCATAAACCAGCACCAGTTAATACATGTAGCTGGTTTCAAAGTCGGCTTTTTGTCAAGAATGAGTAAAACCAATAAAAAAAAAAGTTATAATTACAGAAATAATTGGCTTTCCAGGGATAAATATTTACACCCTCGCATTCCAAAGCTCAACAGACATGAAGCCGGCTGCTCTTGCCTCAAACCCTTATCCGACTCACGTCTCACGCCACCTATCTGCAGAGGGACATCCCCGTCACTGTCACCAAGGTTACACACAAACACATGCATCTTCTCTATGGCTTTATAATGAGCGATACATGGTTAATAAGGGGCCTCCTGTAACGGACAATGAGGCACCAGCCTTCTTATTTGGCTACACTGCCCCTAGGGGCCTGGAGGTCATACTGTAGTTATGAGGTTGAACACACTGACATTCCTGTGTTCTTATGAGTGCGTTCACAGCACTGACGGCCGGCACTGACATCTCCGTTCCTACACTGATGCCTGACACGGTCTACAGGAAGACCAATGCTACTCTGATGTCACAATATCTCCTTCTGCCAATCGATAAGGAAAAGCTGCAGAGTAATTTAATGCATGAGAAATATGCCTGGGTAAAATTACCCCCCCCGCACACTATTTCCCACAGTCGAGATGATGACCCATCCACAGCCACGTGCCTCATATGTTCATGCAGCCTTAGCACACAAACTTCCACAACGCCGACAGAATGACAAACCAAGGTGAACAAGCTGGTTCCTTTATCACTCACAACTAGCACTGTGCATAATGTAATACATCACACAGATAAACATAACGCAGATTTTTATATACTACTCTGCTGGCTATGTGTATTGTGCTCTAAAACGAGTTCAGTATTTTCTACAGGATCTTCATCTATCCTTTGGTACAAATACTAACAGTGAGATTTATGTACAGTGTTTATGCGCATGCGCTACTGAGGTACGGGAAGGTTACCTCAAAGAAGCAAAATTAGGATGCAGATTACGATTCCAGTCTCCAATGGAGTATTCAATTTTACAGTCATGTTGACCCATGGGACCTTAAGCTGCCAGTTACCAATAGACAACAAAGATATTCAGTACATTTTCAGGCTGTCTCTGGTTAAGTTAAATGACATTTTTCCTAATAACCTTGGAGGCTTTGAGAAAAGAAAAACTAATTTGAAAGCCATTCCAAAACACAATTCAGCTTCAAAAGCACACCCCCTTTTAAATGCAAATGTACATTTACCACCTTCCGGAGGGCGGGTAGACCCTGCTGTAAAGGGACACTGACGAGCTCGGGGAAAACTGCTCCACACAAAGTGAAAGTAAAGAAGGATTTAGGCAAAAATGTTCAGCCGTGTCAACTCGACCCCTCACAGCTTGGACAGCTGGATTTCACTTTGTTTTTGAGATAGGAGAATACATGAGGAGTGTACAGCCCCTAGCCTAAAACCTGGTATGCTTCATGCTGAAACACAGGACTCAGCTGAGCTCTCCGAGCTGTCGAGCCTTCCCACCCTGGAGCTCCAGCTGTTGCCTCCAGGACTCGGCGAAGCCCAGCTGTGAGTTAACTGTGTTGCTAGGGAACTGGGATGATTGGGGCACTGGCACGTGAGGGGGTACACGTGCAGATCCCACGCGCACGGCCCGGCAGACCGATCGATGCACGTGGCAGGCTAATCGAATAACGAGGGTCGTAGGATTGAGACTGAGGTGGAAGTGTGACTCACCAGGGCTGTATTGGGACACGCTCAGTGGAACGTGCTTCCTGACGACACCTAGTGCTTCCTGCAGGGCGACCACGCCTTCCTTGGCCATGTCAAAGGTCACAGCCAGGGCACTTTTCACACCAACCACTGTAGTGACGCAAGTGCTTTGGAGCTGCTGTACCAAGCCGTTAACCAGACTGAGAAATCACTCTGGAAACAAGCAATTGCCAATGAGCAACATGCAGACGTGCACAGGCAGACCCGCCCTGCACGATACAGGAGGGATCCTGACCCCCTAACGTTCAGAAGAGGCCCCCCGCCATCTTTCACCCTTGGACCCGACCATCGCTTGCATCTCAGTCTTTAGCACTCCAAATAAACCACACCACCAGCCGCCTCAAGACGGCGAGTTTCTACAATCACCCTTTAAAACAAGGAGGCTCAATTAAAAAGCCGTTGTCGTGGTTACGTTTGAGGTCATTGTGCGGTGAGCCCACAGCGGGATGTCACATGAACACACACACACATCCAAAATTTCAAACATCAATACGATACCAAGAAAAGTATTGAAATCCAATACCATTGATACTCACAGTATAATGAAATCTGAATTGCGGTTTTGTTTGCAGTAAAAACTACCTTTTGTAAACATGTCACTATATCTAAAAAACTTTCACATTGCATTGTCAGTCAAAACAGAATAATATTAAGTCTTCATTTAACACAAACCCAAAGTATTTCCAGGTGCCACTCTGGCTACAATTTATCGATTAAATGCAGAGGTGAAAGCCATAATGATTCTGACCTGGTCATTTTAACACCCCGCGTGCAAGGCCACACACAGACAAGCCTGCGAGTCTCTGGTCAGAGTGATCTGGAAGTGCAGGCTGTAGCATCGACGCCATGAAAAAGTGAGTACTGAAACAGTTTTAGATGCGATACAATCAGTACTTTCGATATTTTCGACACTAATTGACAGCATCTTGGCGTGTTCCCCATTCAATTGAACACTCATCAAAAACGCAGGCAGGCGGATTACGGCTAACCAGTGGCAGGCGTGTCTGGAATGTTCTTTAAAAGGGACCTTGCACTCACATGTAGAGTCGGAACATGCCGTGCGAAACATGCCTTCTGGAAGGATGTCCTTCGGCCCACATTACTCAGTTAAGTGAGGGCACCGTTTCATTGTGCTTACTTCACTTAAGCTGAGGACAGTATGAGCAGTACCCTACTAGCAAGCTCACTCCATAACCCTTTGTGGTAAGACTAGGTGCCTTTTTGAGATCTTAAGGCCTTCAGGGTACATAAGTGTTGACTTAGAATAAGCTCTAGAGAGGTGCAACATTATGGAAGATGGATGGAGTTGAGTACAGACATCAAAGGCAAATAGCATGCATGTTTTACATCAGAGCAACCGCAAACACCCACAACCCCTGTAGTGCTCTCGACCTCCACCAGGCACAAAACCATAACCCCACAGCTGACCTTCAGCAGCTCGCCCTCCTTCTTCCTCTTCTCCTTGTTGCTCTGCTTCACCGTCCCAGTGACCAGCCCCACCACCGAGTTCTGGAGGCCAAGAGCCAAGCCCCCAGCCTTCTCTAGGTTCCTCCAGGTGAAACCAGCCTGCCGACACAGAGAGGTCGTTTACAATAATTGCTGTATGCCTCCATCATAAACAACAGGGTCTGGCACAGGGCAGCAAGAATGAATGTTCTACCCATCAAGGGTGGAAAGGTGAGGTTCAGAAAACACAAATCCTGGCCAAGATTTTTTCCCCCCAACCATCCAACTGAGCAAAAAGAGCCACAGACAGAGTACTCAACTGGCTGGTTGAAACAAAATCTTGGTCTGGATTCATACTTTCTGGACCTGAAATTTCCACCTCTGCGACCCATAATGCTATGGTCAGGGGTTCCATACACAGCACTACGCTAGTTATACTGTGCCTATAATGTACAAGCATCAGAGGTAGAAGAACGTGGTTTAAAGGAACCACGGGAGTATTCAAAACATCTAACAATCTATGTCAATACCTACAGAAGCACATCATGCACAGGAGAAACATGGAACTGTGCATGTCATCAGCATCCCATAATACTGACACTGCTGTATTTCCAATGTGGGCCGATAACCCGCTCAGAGTATCGATCATAGATATCGACCCAGCATGCGTGAGGATGACCCGTTCTGACAGGAGCAGAAAAGAAAAAGTTTCTCCACTAGCATGCTAACTCCATAGACAAACACGCTGTCTATTCAGTTAAAAGGCATAGTAATTAAAACGTCCGCCAATTAGCTAGATTACGGGAAGCCATAATTCGGAACATTAAAGTGACCAATCACAGAGTTTCCCAGGAGACCATAAATTCGAGAGCCGTCTGTGACACGTGTAACTTGATCCGCCGGCTGCTCCAGGTGCTGCCCTGCCCACAGGGCGCCGCGTGCAGCGGACTCAACACCTTAGCGGTGGGAGATTTATACGCAGCCAGCGCAGCTGCCTGCTTTGCTCTGCGCCCAGACGGACAAACAGCTTTACTGATAAGCTGCTGCGGTCCTGTGAAAGACCCCTTAGACCCCCGAAAGGGAACAAACAGCTCCTAACCTGGCCATACGTTTAGGCAGCGACTGACGTCAAGTCTTTTGTGCTGTGAAGATACATTTGTTTAGTAGTACTGGGCTATATTTGGATTTTTATAGATGTTATTCAGGAAGACCTGAAATCAGACTATAAAAGGGTATGTGAGTGCCTGGTCTGCCCGGGTAATTGGTCTCAGTGCGCAAAACATAAAGCCCAAGATTTTAGCTGATCAGCATTTCGCTTTTATAGTCATACTGACCCACTTCAGAAAATAAGCAATTTGACAGATATACACTCCCTAAACAAAGGACACTTCACCTCCAAGTCAAGGCGGAGATGCACATAGGCACAGAACTATACAGCTTTCATTGTTCTGGTCATGCTATGGACTCTATTGGTACACGGGTTAGCAGCTTTCGGAACATGGCGGCCATTACTTTTTAGGCTTTTTATGAATCAGAGGCCAGATAAACAATATTCCTTTAATTCATGCCAATACTAAGGCCTCGGTCCCTTCAGAGGCAACAGTTGAGAAGATCACTGGGACCTCCCTGCCCTCCACTGATGGCATCTTCATGAAACGTTGCACCCATAAGGCCTCCAGCATCGTGGAGGATGCCTCCCACCCTTCCCAGATTCTCTGCTCCCCTTCTGGCAGAAGGTACCGGAGAATCCGGGCCAGCTCTGCCAGACTCCGTAACAGCTTCATCCCCATGGCCGCTCAGAATCTGAACTCTGCCATCCACCAGCACTTTGTAACTTTTCCATTTGCATATTGACCAGATAATCCATGACAGGGAGGACACTTTCAGCGGCTTCTGGTTTTACAAACTGAAAGGCTCCTGTGCTTGGCTAAATACTTCAGTTTTTATGCTTTGACTGGTTTGTTCCCTTGATTGAAAGACTCATCCAGCTGTTACACATTAACATTAGCAACTCATGCATGATTATTGGAGACTGACCAATCAGCACACAGCAAGAACTCAGTGTTTAACTGAAATCCAGGTCCTTTTATATGCAATATTAGTTTACACATCCTGTTTTAGCTCCAAGTGTCCTTCCTGACGTGCATTATCTGGTCACTCATTCATTAATCTGATATTCATTTATTTTTCACTGATGCATTTAAATGTTGCTCCCATCACTGCCTATTCTAGACATTCCAGCACTGTTTACATTTATATTGTATCTTAATGTTGTCATTCTTTGGGTTTCTCCTGTGCCAGTCCTGTCTACACATGCAGGGCCATGGACCTCTGTACACAGTGTACGGAACACGGCTGCTGTGCCAAAGCCATGCTTGACCACATTCCTCCAGCAGCATCTCACTGTATGTTTCTGCACATATAACAGGAAGCTAATGGCCTTTTACATTTACATTGTTTACATGTATTTAACGTGGATACCTTTGTCCAAATGGCATACAGCTATCAAGGAGCCAATTAGGTGGTTGGACTGAGTTTGCAGTGAATGATCAGTATTAGTTAGTATTGGAGGAAGAGCTATATAGTGCATTACAAGTGTAAAAACCTAATACGAGGGCGACAATCGCAAGCAAGTGAAAAAATAAGATTATTCAGGATACATATTTAGTTAATGACTGGCAGACATACAAAGAAACAATGAGCTGACCTACTTAAGGTCTGGGGGGGGGGGGGGGGCACACACCGCCTGTACTGAAGTCAGTTGTGACCTTGACAACAGCACCTAATGCCTGATTGCTAATGTTTATACCGACAGCAGTCCTGAATAAACATGCGTAAGTGCATAAAACTGTGTGGAAATCTGGGAGATGCTATTCCTCTTTATAGAAATGATTAGAGTGATGAACGAGATCTGAGGAAGAGCACACTGACCCCCGCTAAACAGCCCCTTTTCATAGGCAACCTGCGTTTACAATTTATTGTTACAGAACCTTCTACAGGAACAAGACTGTGCAGAGAGCCCCCACCCCCCATGAGTGGAATGGTTGAGTCCTCAGCACAGCACCAAAGCCTTCTCTAAATACAACAAGCCACTACTTGGCTTTACTGAGCTACTGCATCTCCGGGACGGTCCAGAAAGTGTGGTGGTGGGGGAGGGGGGGGGTGTTAGATCACATCGGAACACTTATCTGTGGGCTGTCTTATTCAGTTGTTCTCACTGACATAATCTTTAGAGCTCATTTTAAATTCTCAGCAAAGCGTAACGGACCATTGCTATCCAAATCGAAAATAAAAAGAAAAAATGAGCAAAGGAGGAAAAAAAATAAATAAATAAAACTCACAGGTATAAACTAGGCCTAAATATCCAAACCAAGTTTCCTTGACACTTCGGAGAGCTTCATATTCATTGCACAGATATCCAAGATGATTAATCATCTTACTAATTAAACAGCTAAACTCGCTCACCCTAATTACAATAAATATTAATGAACATTTGGCCTAGATTAGGTTTGTTTATCAAATCAATTATTCATGTGACATGCTGTGGTAATGTTTAAAAATATTATCGGGCATACTGTTAGCAAGTTTACAGGCTGTTTACCATCTCCTGCCCCACAGAAAGAAAGGATCTAAAACATTCTGGTTGGTATCCAAGACGGCAAGACTCTGACCTGTAAATAAACATGAAGATTCCTACATGCAAGATGCCTATTTTGGAAAGAAACTGCTGAACTGGCTTCTATTTTGTCTGCATTAAAATGTAAAGGTTTCACACTCAGATTAATAACGCTTACACAAGCAGAGACCGATTACAGTTTGAACTCCCAGTAACAGTCTTCAGGCACAATACTGGAAACCAGTCTTTGGTTATTCTGGTCTGGGAAAAGACATGGAGTTGAAACACTGTGCCAAATTTAACCTCAAATAAAAGTTAAAATACAGTTATATTAAGGGGGGAAAAATACTTATTACTGTAACTGTTAAACCATCCATCTACTAACTGGTTATCCTGGTTGGGGTAGGTGGTGGGGGTGGGGTGGGGTGGTGGGGGTACTCCAGGCAGCAGAAGGCAGGGTTATAGCAGCCCACAAGAACAATCACACATGCATGCACGCGCACACACAGACTGTGGGACACTTAGAGTTGCCAGCTAGCCTAAGTGTATGTCTAGGGAGAACACGAACACACACACACACACACACACACACACACACACAAAGCACCAGCAGGATTCATTCCCCCAGGCTTGATGGTGTGAGGTAACAGCACTAACATCTCAGCCACCACAATCCTAAATGCTCTACTTCTTGCAACAGTTACCCTAAAGCATTGATTCTCAACCCGGTCCTTGGGATCACCAGACAGTCCACATTTTTGCTCCCTCCCAGTGCACCTGCACCAACTACCCAGGCTAGGTGCACTGGGAGCAGAGAGGGACCAAAAAAGTGGGATGTCCATGGGTTGGGAAACACTGCACTAAATTAACATTCAAAACCTAAAAAAAAAACAACCTTCCTTAAAAGTTAAATACATAGAAGACTAAAAAGGACATTAATCCCAAGGAAAGGTTCAGTGTGTTCAAGTCACAGGCCATTAGGCGAACTTTAGCCATGGAGGAGAGACACCAATGACAGGGCAGGACTCACCAACGGGGACACCCCCGGAATGCTGAGGGCAAGGTCACGCCCCCGAGCGCCAGTGTGCTGCATGCCCCGTGCCGTCCTGTCATACGTACGCCGGCACACGACGGCAAAGAGGGAACCTAGCCGCTTGTAGCTGGGCTGGACGGCGTCCCCGCTAGTGTCCAACTCCTGCTGCCAGGACGTGTCCTTCTCTGAAAGGAGAGGAAGGAGGGAGCTGAGGAGCTGGTGGGCAGATCTCCCAAAAATGCAACGTTTCTTATGGGGTTCTAGAAGGATCCAAGGCCTCCCGTGGATACACCTCATTACAGGAATTTACCCAACAGAGTTTGGTCAGCAAGCCCTGGGAGCTCTGAAAGCCATATTATTATTGATAAACTGCTTCAGTAGGGGCTTTATGGCTGGACAGCACCCAGGAAGCTCAGGGGCAGAGGCGGGGTGGGGCTGACGGAGCTGGCAGTGTGACAGGGGGCCAGCCAGCCTGTCCTGGCATGCGGGGCCCCAAAGGAGAGCACGGGTGCGAGCAGCCACTTGCCTGGCGTGATGGAGGCAGACAGACACTCGTCTGGCCCCAGACACCCCCCCCCCCCCC